TTAATAATATTACAATAGTAACATTTAAACATTAATTAATCCCAAGTTCAGTTTAATGGATGTTTGATACTACTATCAAATAAAAACAACCATTAAAAACCCAATCAAACGTTTAACGCCTCTTTTGTTTTACAGGTTTGTAAGTGACTCGGTTGGATTAATTTTAGGCAGTAGCTTTCAAATCGTAGCTGTGAACGGAATCCCTCGTAAGGACAATTTTCCGTACAGAATGATTTTAACCTAACAATTCCTCCATAAAATATAAAACAAATTTGTTTTCACTTTTTTTAATCCTGGCTGCCTAACATGCGTTTGGACACACCAAGTCTCTCTCATCAATTATTGATGATTAGTAATTAATCAGAAAATAAAAACACTAAATTAAGTATTAGGAGTAATCAATTAACCAATCTGCATATTTTCTTTTAACAGTCTTGCATCAATATGTCTTCAGCATATACTATATTCTTCTCCTTCTTTTTGCTATAGACTTCCAAGCAAATCTCTTCCCCAAACTATGGAAACAAAGATGGGTGCGAGTATCCTTGCCTTTGTCGTAGATGTAGCTCTGTCGAAGGTGATTGCTGTTGCTTCTGATCTGTTCAACTCTCTCGTAGATGCAGTTGTGTCGAAGGTGACTACTTCTGCTTCTGATCAGTTCAATTTAGCACGGGGATGGGACAATGACCTGATGGAGTTTCGTGATAAAATGAAGACGCTCCGAGGTTTCTTGCAAGATGCTAATGAAAAGAACGTCAGTGACGACCATGCTTTGAAGTCGTGGCTCCAGCGTCTTCGAGATATTGCAGATGAGGCTGATGATATACTGGAGGAGGTCGCTTATGAAGGTATGCAGCGGGAAGTTCAGAAATCAAAGGTCAGGCGCCTTACTTCTCTTGACCCCTCGCCCCGGCTATTTCGTCAGAAAATGGCTAATAGAGTTGCGGATTTGAATAAAAGACTTGTTGATATCCATCTCTCGGCTGATCAGTTGGGACTGCGACCCAAACTTGCAAACATGGTTCCTGAACCCAGAGGCAGGGCAATTCCAGAGACTCACTCTTTTCTTTCATCTCAAGTGTTTGGAAGAGACGAAGATGTCTCTAAAATAGTCAGGTCGTTGGTTGACTCAAGTAGTCAGCATGACCTCCCTGTCATGATTATAGTGGGTATGGCAGGCCTTGGCAAAACCACTATAGCAAAAGCAGTGCTTAAAAATGATAAAATACGAGAACATTTTGGTGATAATAAAATGTGGGTTTGTGTATCTGAAAATTTTGATGTCAAAATGATTTTAATGGAGATGTTGAAGTCTTGTGGTGGAAGTAGTAGTGGTGATGGTGATTTTGGAAGCAAAGATATAGTGATGAAGAAAATACAAGAGAAGTTGAGGGAGAAAAATTATCTTCTCATACTAGATGATGTCTGGAATGAGGAGAGACAGAAGTGGGAGGATTTAAGGGATTGCTTGTTGGGAATAAGTGGAAGTAAGGGGAGTAGGGGTAAGGTGCTTGTGACAACCCGGCTTGAAGATGTTGCATCAGTAATGGCACTTACTGATGAACACATCCATCGTCCCCGGCTATTAAAGGAAGATGAGTGCTGGACTATAATCAAGCAGAGAGCATTTGGAGACAATTTAGTACCTGAGGGGTTAGAGGGAATTGGGAAACAGATTGCTAGAAGGTGTAAAGGCGTTCCACTAGTTGCAAGTATTATAGGGGCTATTTTACAGAATAAGAGGGACAAAGGGGAGTGGCAGGCCATTACAGAGAATTGTGTTTGGGATTCACTGGAAAAGCAGGAGGGGATCTTGGATATTGTAAAATTCAACTATGATCGCTTGCCCACACTGGCTTTGAGGCAATGTTTTGCATTTTGTTCCATTTTTCCAAAGGATTTTGTCATGGAAAGGAAGATGCTAATTCAACTTTGGATGGCTCAAGGATTTCTTGAATCACCTGAAGAAATTAGTAATATGGCAGCGGAAGATATTGGTGACAAGTATTTCAGATATTTGTTATCATATTCCCTATTTCAAGATGAAAGTAGGGATGATGTAACTGGGAGTGTTGAATCTTGTAAGATGCATGATTTGATTCATGATTTTGCCCAGTTAATTTCAAAATCTGAGACGCTGATTGTTGAGGAGCAGCCTAGGAGCAATATTTCTCATGATGTTAGGCATTTGAATCTAATTGATGGGAGGGATATGGTGCCATCTATTTTAGGGGATGTTGCTGAAAAGTTGCAGACATTGTTTTCCAAGCATAGTTTTTCTAATGGTGTGCAAGTGGATCTTATAAGGTTGCGAGTTCTCAGCCTTAGAGGTGTTTATGATGCAAAACAATTGCCAACGTGCTTTGGCAACTTGAAGAGGTTGAGGTACTTGGACATTTCAAGCACTCAGATAGAAGAACTGCCCAAATTCATCTCCGAGTTGTTCAATCTACAAACATTTAGATTCATGGATTGCAGATCTCTTAAAATGCCCGAAGGAGGAATAGGAGATTTAATCAACTTGAAGCATATTGATTTCAGTGATGAAGAGCGTATGCCTGCAAACCTTGGGAGACTAACCAACCTACAAACATTGCCATTATTTTTTGTAGGTACAACAGAAGGACGTAAAATTGAAGAATTGGGAAGCTTAAGAGAACTCAAAGGAAGACTAAAGATCTGTAAGCTTGAGCTTGTTGCAAGCAAATCGGAAGCAGAGGGAGCAAAGTTAAAAGACAAGGCAGTTGAGCATTTGATATTTTGTTGGTCGGAAGGCAAAGGCAATCAAGATAAAGATGAAGATGTCTTAGAAGGCCTCCAACCCCCCTCAAATATAAGAAGATTAAGGATTAACGGCTATGGAGGTAGAAAGTTGGCATCATGGATGTTGTCACTCAACAATTTGGTGGATCTGACAATTATCAATTGCGAAATGCTCCACGGAATTCCAGATATCAGTGGGCTTCTATCTCTTCAGCGGCTCCATGTTCGCGATTGTGATGAAGTAACTAGTTGGGGTGATGGTGATGGAGCATTTACGTCTCTCAAACAATTATCCATATCCGGATGTGGTAAGTTAGAGAGAGTTTTGGTTAGTGGATTATCATCTCTGGAGGAACTCAAGATTGTGTATGGCTGGGTGATAAATAGCATAGGAGATAGCCTATCAAGCTCCACATGTCTCAAACATTTGCATCTGGAAAGCTGTCCTAAATTGCAGTCTATTCCAAGTCTAGAAGGACTTGTCTCTCTCAAAACAATAATTATTACCATATGTCATGAATTAGAGCGTCTACCGAGTGGGCTCTCATCTTGCACTGCTCTGGAGAAATTGAAGATATGGGGGTGCTCTAATTTGATTTCTATTCCTGAAGAATTGAAACAGTTGCAGTCTCTTGTTGAGTTGGTTTTTAGAGATTGTCCAAAATTGAAGTTTATTCGTCTAGAAGGACTTGTCTCTCTCAAAACACTAGATGTTATCAAGTGTGATGAATTAGAGCATCTACCGAGTGGGCTCTCATCTTGCACTGCTCTGGAGATATTGGAGATAAGGGAATGCTCTAATTTGGTTTCTATTCCTGAAGAATTGAAACAGTTGCAGTCTCTTGTTAAGTTGGAATTTTGGGGTTGTCCAAAATTGAAGTTTATTCCAAGTCTAGAAGGACTTGTCTCTCTCAAAACAATAACTATTTCCGGTTGTAATGAATTAGAGCGTCTACCGAGTGGGCTCTCATCTTGCACTGCTTTGGAGAAATTGACGATAAGGGGATGCTCTAATTTGGTTTCTATTCCTGAAGAATTGAAACAGTTGCAGTCTCTTGTTGAGTTGGGTTTTAGAGATTGTCCAAAATTGAAGTTTATTCGTCTAGAAGGACTTGTCTCTCTCAAAACAGTATTTATTACCGGATGTCATGAATTAGAGCATCTACCGAGTGGGCTCCCATCTTGCACTGCTCTGGAGAAATTGCAGATATGGGGATGCTCTAATTTGGTTTCTATTCCTGAAGAATTGAAACAGTTGCAGTCTCTTGTTGAGTTGAATATTGAGAAATGTCAAAACTTGAGGAGCTTCCCAGAGGAGATCTTGGGCTCTCTTGCCAGCCTGAAGGAATTAGGGCTTGGCCCTTTCTCAGAAGAGCTGAAGGAATTCCCAGATTTGAGTTCTACCTCCTCCCTTGAAGTCTTGCGTTTGAAAGGATGGGGGGAATCGCTAACTCTGCCACATCAAATTGATCGCCTCACTGCTCTCAGGAACTTAACTATCAAAAGCTTCAACGGAGTGGAAAAAGCTTTATTGGGAAACCTTTCTTGTCTTAAAACACTTGAAATTCAAAATTGTTGTCGGTTAACGTGTTTATCAGGTGGGCTGTCATCTGTTGAGGAGCTGGGGATAACAAATTGCCCTAATCTGGTCTCTTTCCAAGGAGAGTTGAAGGAATTACCTTCTCTAACCATTGTAGGTTGTCCGAAATTTGTGGGCTTCTTTACTAGGTTGGAAAGATTAACGATCGGCCCTTTCTCAGAAGAGCTGGAAGAATTCCCAAGTCTGAGTTCCATCCCCGCCTCCCTTGAAGATTTAACCCTGACGGGATGGGAAAAACTAACTCACCTTCCACAAATTCAACACCTCACTACTCTAAAGGAGTTGAGTATAGTGAACTTCAGTGGAATGGAATCTTTGCCAGACTGGTTTAACAACTTGTCCTCCCTTCAACGACTTGAAATTTGGAACTGCCCAAACAAGTTAAAGGAAAGATGCACCAAGGGAAGCGGTCCTGACTGGCACAAGATTTCTCACATTCCAGACATCGAAATAAATCAGGAGGACATGCAATACGAAGATGGATACGAATCCGAAGACTGAGGCAAAGAGGTTTGTGTTTCTTTTTTCTCACAACTGCACTTGTACAAATTCCCGACACCAAAAAGTAAAATCTCTCTCCTCATCCTCTATCAATTAATTGGATTGATGCTGCTCCCTCCATCGCTGTTGGGTGCCGCCAATTAGTGTTATCTCGTCAAAATTATTTGTTCTTTCTCTCAAACCATATATAAATTCATGTTTTCTTTTTTCTCACTTTTGATTCATATTCTTATACTACATGTAGATGTGATTAATTATGAGTGAATAATCAATGAGTTGATGGAATGATGATTTCTACAATTCTGAATTGAAATCCTACAAGCTTCAACGTTGTGGTAATTAATTCATCGCTCTTCACTTGATCAATTTAACTTATCTTACACATTTGAGGAGTGTGAGCACAAGCAGAATTTGATTCAACATGGAAATGAACTGCTGCATTTCTTGCTTTTTGAAATTACATTTGATATTCCAAAGATGGCATGGCAGGAGGAGAGGAAGGAAAGCAGCAGTGTTTGCCAAGCCAAAGACAATTCTGTTATGCTTACTAGA